CCCCCCCCCCAATTTTTGCCCACAAATACAACCGTTTTCAAACATATTTGATTGAAGAATATTATAATATTCCCCCCAAGTGTCCTTTTTCTAATTTAATTCCGTACAAGTCCCTTCAAAATGACACCCTCTTGTGCCTGCTTCTTCTTATTTTACCTCTAACCCTTGTCTACTCTTTAAAACGGGACTACACCCATGGCGATGTAAAGGACACGGAACATAAACCGATGCAGTCAGATCAGTGTCCGGCCTTTGTCTAGGTGAGAGGATACATAAAGGCCATCCCGACACATGATATTACCCAAAACATCAACCAGGAGTTCGTTTTCAGCGTAGTTCACTGAAATAAGTCATGTCTAACATCATCTCAAGATGCCGAAAAAACAACTCCACCACGTTAGGATTTTTTGTCACGTGACTTCCGGAGAAGATCTCTCTGCTTCCTCCGTTTTCTCCCCTTTCTCTTCCGCGGTTCCCTCCTCCTGGCGCGCTGGCGTCGGCCCTGTGGTCTGTGCGGCCGGTTTCGTCTCTTTCTTCGACGAGTTCTTCTTTTTACATGCCCTGGACGAAATAGGTAAAGCAAATTAATAATTTTGAATAACAAAGAATAACTTAGTAGGCCTTTTCCTCCTCCTCCTCCTCCTCCTCCTCCTCCTCCTACTACTACTACTACTACTACTACTACTACTCCCCCTCCTCCTCCTCCTCCTCCTACTACTACTACTACTACTACTACTACTACTACTACTACTACTACTACTACTACGCAAATTACTAATAAATACAAATGATGATGATGATGGTGATGATGATGACGACGATTAAAATATACGTTATTTTGTACATGTAAGTTCTCTTGGAGAAATTACACTCCCCTCCTCCTCACCCCCCCCCCTTGCCCACTTTTTCCCCTCCTTGCTTCCAGTGTCTTTCGAGTCCAGTGGTCCAACCCTTATTCTAAAGATAGGATAAAAGTGTTTCTCGAGCATGACGTCACGACAACCGAAATATAAACCAATTGAGAGGCAAGACAACGGACAGGCATTATAGGTCAAGTAAGTTCCGAACTGAGGGCTCTAGTTTATTCTACGTTTACCGCCTCGCTTCAGCAAGTTATAAATACAAGTTCATGTACTTGTCTGCATTCACCCAGACGTATGGGCCTATGCTTTAATATTATTGGACGTTATTCTCAAACTCTGCAGGGTGACGGCAGTAGCCTTGTGGCTAGGCCACCGGATCTATAATTGTGAGATTGAGGGTGCGTGGGTTTGAGCCTCAGCTCGGTCCGACGTTGTGTTCTTAGGAAAAGCACTTTCCATAAAGTTCCCTTTCGGGTCGGTCCTTTCTGAGATAGACGTTTACCTCGGAGGTCCCTCCTTTTAAACAACCTAACAGTGGGCGTTAAACCTATATAATTTCACCATTTCAAACTCTGCGTGCCATATTAATGTATATGAAAGAACTAAACACTCGTTGTAAATTGTCTACTTTATGTCCTGGGATGTTCAACAATGTTCCCATCCCATAAAGACAAGTTAGTATAGACAAAAAGGCCAACATTTGGGAAAATAAGTGTCTCTAAATTTAATCAAACAACCACCAACCAATTTGCCAACCAGTCAACCAACTAACCAACCAACACACACAAAAAGCGAACAAACAGCTGAACAAATAGCTTAAGAGACAAAAGGACAAAATATGAACATCGGAGAAATCCAAACAAAGGCACGGCATAAAGTAAGAAAAAAAACCCACACTCTCCCCTAAACGAAAAACAAAATGAAATATCAGTACGAACCAGCACGGCGCTTATCTTTTGATGACACATTCGGGCGCCCTTCTTGCGGCACTTTCGCCCCACCTTTTCTGGCAATGTCACTTTTGCGATGGCGACGACGCGCCCTAGGAGTGAAACACATATTCTCCGTGTTGACCTTCAGCGTGGGACAGTCGTAGTCTTCTGTTCCGTCACAGAGGCAAGACCTCAGTTTGCTGGCGTGAGGTTGCCGAGACAGAATGAACAAACTGTTTTTACACCGCGACGTACACTTGACCCCTTTGAAAAGTTTGGAGCAGTAGTCGTAGTAGTAACGCAGAGCCGTTTGGCACGACGTGTCAGCTTCGCAGATCCATCTGGCCAGATTGCAGGACACGGGGGGAGCGTTGTCTTCAAGCACGTGCATGGACGCCAACACTTCTCTCTTGCAGACCTCAACTCTCTCTTTCCGCTCTGAGCAAAGACCTGCTTGATGGCAGTCGCAGTTGATGAACGCCAGTCCTGCTTCATCCTCCGTGGACAGGAGAGACACAAGGGCATTTTTGCAGTCCGTAGGGCAGACGTCCCGGAAGTCACCTTTGATGACAGATCGGCAGTGAATGAAGAAGTTGTTGAGCGCCCTCTGGCAGCCGCTTCTCGCGTGGCAGTTAAGTTGAGCTACGTGGCAGCTCTCGTCTGAGACTGCGGTTGAGTCTGCGTAAAGAGAAATGGACGTGGACATGACTAAAACAATCATGTACTGTTCGATCGGGGGAAATCGCCAACTGGTCGACATTCTAGCAGTTAGACTGGACATAACAGATGCCAGGTTATGTAAGGCCTACTCGTCGGTACGGCCATTTCCTTCAACAAAGCATATGTTACTGCCAGATGTGACGAATCAAGACAGGCTCGCAGTGACTTGTGGGGCTTGGGCAGGCAGGAAGTGGGGTCGCATCTGAGGAGACAAAAGGGAATAAAGCCATTGGACCCGTCATCGGTATTTTCATATATCATTGTTTTCTCACGTTGCTTTATTATCAATTGTCAGATCGGTATCAAAACAAGGGAAAAGAGGGGGTGGGGTGTTCTTCTGTTCAATGTTATTTAGTAGTTTAGTTAGAGTTTTACGGCACTTGCATCACAAATAGGTCACACAAGTGCCAAAGATTAGAAGCGCTACCAAAGAGTAACCATCATGTACAAAGAAAAGAAGGAGAAATAAGGGCCATAGATGTTTGATGGGAAAGAATGAGAAAACCGGACCAGAATATCTGCCAACCACCCACGGCTCAATGTAAATAGGAAAGTTATCTTGAGTGAAACATCCCAATACTTCCAAACTTCATTCCCTTTTATCTCGCAAAGCTTTCAATAAGCTTCTCATTGACTCTCACGTGTTAACCGATGTGGTACAGCAGTTAACCAACCTGATGTACCACGTTCAAGCCGTAGTTCGAATGCTAGCGAAGATTAAAACTAAATGGGTGTTAAAAAATATTTAAATTATTTTTTGTCCCCCTGAATTCTAAAGTAGTCCACTTCAGAATCATATCCTGGTTGGAGAAAAAGTTCCCGCCTTTGAAAAGACCAACAACACTGAGTTTTGAAGGGCGTCGAACAGCAGCAGCAGCAATAACAACAGCAACAAAAACAATACTGCAACGACAACGACAACAACAGCAACAGAAACTATGACAACAGCATTTTCTATTTCATGATACGATACTCCATCCACATTGGCAATAACTTTCCCCCCCTGTATTTTACGTTTGCAATTTTCTACATTACCTGCGAAAGAAAAACAAGGAATGAACACTGTCGGTAAATCGGGTGCTGGTTATGGGCGCAGTTTTTTTGTTTTTTGTTTTCTGTTCTTTTGTTTGGTTGTAAGATGGCGCTCGCAACTGCATAAGGTCATATGAGCGCGTGGGACACATTAAACGTTTTCAGTTGGTAGGAATTGTTGCGACTGAAGCCTACTTTTATCGATTTTGGACCACCAAGGGATCTTTAACGTGCACAACTTGCACTCGCGACCTTCGAGATTTTTCTCCCTTGTCCGATCCTTGTTGGATCTTCCAACCTTAAGATTAAGGTTTTGGCTGAAAGACAGCAATAAGAAGGAGCCAAGGACTAGCAGTAGAAAGGCTGCAGAAAGAGTCCGGAGCCCAGAGGAGGGGTTAAAGGGGGGGGGG